CCCCAAAACCCCAAAACCCCAAAACCCCAAAACCCCAAAACCCCACTATAAATATTTCAGATTGAATTAAGTTCAATGGAAGATTTTCAAAATACCTCTCCCTCTCAAAAAGACCAAATTGGTACACAAGAAAATGCTGAGCTTCATAAAGCTCAAATTAAAGCTACAAGGATGAATGGATATTGCATTGCGTATCATATTTTTACTCTTGGGCTGCTACTACTATGTTCGAGTCTCTCAGGCTCGGGTGATTGAGGTCTCCGTACTCATAAGCTCCTCAACATGGCCGCTTGAGTAAAAGTAGGAGCAGTAATTCATTACCTATTCAAGAATCGCTGTATTAAAAATAAATCTCTGGGGACTACCACTATCAATACATTATCCTGGGCGTATCATATTGGTTCATCAAGTAAAGTTTCATTAATAAATGTTCTATAGCCTGGTATTGGACCATATTAGAGAGATTCTTGGCCTCAAGGAACGAATGATTATACTCAAATAGACTCCTATGGACAGGGCACACTATGCTTGTTGCTGAAGCAATAATCGTTGCTTTCTGGGCAGGTGCGTACCTCTTTAAAACTTTCATTACTCTTGTTGATGAATCGACTGAAAATGCCACGAATCAGGCGAATTCAAAATCTAAGAATGAGTATCTTGCTAATGAGCTGTTCAAACTAAAGAATTTCATATCAAGCCATTTCAAAGATACTTGTGGGCTATGTCATAAGCCACTAGAGCCAGACCAGATGGTAATGATGTTACCATGAGACCATGCCCACATAATTCACTACTCTTGAGATGCCACGTCAACAAACCAAAGTCAGAACTGTCCATATTGTAAAGGCTCAGAAAATAATGAAAAGACTCAGAACATCAAGATATTGCCATTTGCAGAGATCCTGGCTAAGAAATATGAGAAAATCGAAGAAGATCGCAAAGCCTTGAAAGAAAGGAAGAAGAGAAAATATTCATATACCGACTTTTAATTTGTGTCACCTAATTATATCAATTTCAATGATGAAACCACAGCCTGGGGTTTTGGGGTTTTGGGGTTTTGGGGTTTTGGGG